GTCCCAGTCCGAGAAATTATACAACTAAAAATTGGATAATTCAATACCTCGGACCGCATCTGCCAGTTTCTTTGAGCCCCAGCCGAGGTAGACCTTAAGTTATATTATGTTAATGGCATACTATCGTTAAAATTCCCTTGAGAATTTTACAAGGTAAGAAATTTCACTCGATAGTGTATAGTCGGCTGTAACGAAATGAAAGACAAGCTGACACCAGGATCCCGATGTTCACCTGATCCCAGTCCAATAGCCTAGACTTTAATTGTTATATCCCTACAAACAGACAAAGTGTCTTGAGGTAAGGAATCAAACGTGTTGACCGATCAAACTTGGGGGCAAGAAAAAGTTGGATAGGTGCTGATTTTTAGTTAGCTCAACTTTTTCACTGCTAGCACCACAGCTAAGCATTTCATAGACGGACTAATGAGATTCAGCTATGGCAAAGTGCTAAACCATTCGCCATCTGAATAGCAAGTGACCACTTGAGTACAACTCAGGACTTTAGCGCCACTCCTAAAGCTCTGCCATTGATGATGAATACGCGTCAATGTCCATGCTGGTCTACACACCTCAACTGCATTAGTGGGTTGATGTTGTCAGTACGTTGTCTGGCCTTTTGGCCTTCAGTTGCTGCGCAGTTTATCTGATTTCTCTTTAGAATTTACTTACTTGGTCAGACCTACACCCATGAACAAGATATCAATGGAAGCCTCTGTCAGAGTACTAAGTTATTTGCTTTAATGTGAATATTTGCCAGCATGCACTCCTCTCCCTTATTTGAACCTAGATGTCACTTGCAGTTAATGAACAGCTCACATGTTGCTTTACACAGACCAAGCATGCATCGCTGCGTGCGATAATTTCTATTATGGCTTCTGTTACCTCAGGGTTCACCTAAGGTTGCTAGAATAGAACAGAATTTATTCATCTATCGTCATCAACAAGATCTGCCTTCGAAATGTCAACTTTGGAACAACGCGCGAACATTAATTATACTAAGGTCGCCGCATCATCGTGGTGATGCGTCATCTACTTAAACAGACTACATGGCCTTTAAGACAACTGCTGTTCGCGTGCCACCTATGCAAAATGTAACGTTAGTCGGGCATAAGGATGTTTAACTTCCGTTATTACTGAACATTATAAGTTTGGTGGTTTCCTAACAGGTGATGTTCATACGTACAGTCCTGTTTCATAGTTATCACCAGCCATGTGGAATTTGGTATTACAAGCAAAATGTAACGCTTGTCTACCATAGATGTACCTAATTTTTGTATGTTGGTAATGTTAAAAAATACTTCAACTGTTTCGTAACCTGTCATGTGCATATTATTGATCTGTTCGATGGCTATTCCAAACCATATGAAATTTGCTATCACAAGCAAAATGTAACGCTAGTCTACCATAGATGTACATAATTTCTATATATTGTTAATGCAAAATAGTACTTCATCTGTTTCGTAATCTGTCATGTGCATATTATTGACCTGTTCGATGGCTATTACAAACCATATGGAATTTGCTATCACAAGCAAAATGTAATGCTAGTCTCGCGTAGAAAGAACCTAATCTCTATTTGTTATTAACGAAAAATGGTACTTTAGTGGTTTCCTAAACTGTCATGTGCATTCTGACAAAGATGTTCCAAGGTTATCACAAACCAAATGAAATTTGCTATCACAGACAAAATGTAACGCTAACCTCCCATAAGGTGCCTATTCTTTATCTGGTGATAAGAAAAAAATATGCATTGGCGGTTTTTTAACCTGACATGTTCATAATTACACACCTGTTCCACGGTTATCACAAACCACGTGGAATCTGCTATAACAAGCAAAATGTTACGCTAGTCTCGCATAGATGTAGCTAATCTCTGTAGTTCATTAATGAAAAATGGTTCTTCGGCTTCTTCCCAACTTCTCATGTGCATCCTTATAATATTGTTCCATAGTTGTCACAAACCAGATGGAATTTGTTATCCCAAGCAAAATGTACCGCTCTATAGTCACACATAGATGTATCCAATTTTTATCTGTTATAAATGAGATATGCTATATTGCTACATTGCTATTACAAACTAGGTGGAATTTGCTATCCCAAGCAAAATGTACCGCTCTATAGTCTCACACAGATGTACCCAATTTTTATCTGTTATAAATGAGATATGCTATATTGCTACATTGCTATTACAAACTAGATGGAATTTGCTATCTCAAACAAAATGTAACGCTAGTCTCGCATATGAGAACCTAATCGCTATTTGTTATTAATGAAAAATGGTCCTTCGGCGGTTTCCTAAACTGTCTTGTTGCATTCTTATTATGCTGTTCCAAGGTTATCACAAACCAGGTGGAATTTGCCGTCACAAGCAAAATGTAACGCTAACCTCTCATAACATACCTAATCTCTATCTGGTAATAAGGAAAAAATATATCTTTACAACTTTCTAGCCTGCCATGTTCAAACTTACAGTCCTGTTCCATGGTTATCACAAACCAGATGAAATTTGCTATCACAAGCAAATGAGAAAAGGTTGTTGACCATACCTTGTTGCTACGTTGTCCCAAACGCTTTCAGTGTTATTATTTTTGCAACCGAGTCTAATGCTTCCACGTTATCCCAAACGTCTTTGTTCGTACTAGGTATGGAGTTGGCTATCACAAGCTAGGTCCAGGTTGCTATCCCAAGCAACAGTGTCAGAACGTTATCCAAAACGTCATGTTACTAATACTCATTTATCTTGCACCTAAAACAGATCGGTTAGTTGACAGTTACGTGATAGTGACGCCCCTTCAGAAAAAGAGGCCTGCACGCCACTTTCTGATTTTGGTCCGCGACGAAAGGAACCTTGAGGCTACCGTCGGTCGGTATCTCGTGCGACAATGCACATCTGTCGGCCAACCTTCTGTCCTGTTTTCTAATTCTGAATGTTCAGCGGAATAAGGAATGAAGGTTTATAGGCGGCCAGAGGGGAGGAAGGTATGGGCAAAGGGCGTGGTGCATCTTTCCTTCTCTGCGTGCGTGCTTTAAAATCGTGGCGGTTGGGTACTACTACGAGGGTACTACGATATGTATTCTAAATATTTACTTCGATGAGGACGGAACATAATTAGAAAAAATTCTGTGTTTGAGCTATTGAGGTTAGAAAATCACCTTTTTCATGTTCTATGCGCTGTGTAATAAAATTCCTGTTCAGGTAGTTCTCATATTAGAACAGACCGTAAAACCTAAGATAGGCATTTTGCTGGTTAATCAACCCTTAGATTTTACAAGTATGACGTGTGTAATGAAGTAGTATGACGAAAGGCTCATTTCTAGCCTCAATATCTCAAAAAAGTTGAATCCAGGCATGGCTAACACATAAAAAAACTTAAAACCATAAGCAGAATCTCAAAACACCAGATTAAAAACTGTTTGGTCTGAGTTCACTTTTGGGCAACCATGAATATCAAAATATATTTTGTTATTTATTATTATTTTTTTAATTACTTATAATAAGGAATCTATGGTACTTCGTCAGATCTTTGACCTACTTTGTACAACGAGTCTAGGAGTCTTAAAGCTTTTAAATTCACTTTTCTCCATACTTTTTCTGACATTCATCTTTTTTCCCTGTACCCTTCATATGATGAGGAATGAATCAATATTTTTAGTAGTAAACAAGAATAAGTGATTTCGGGCAAATTGGATAAAACATAGTGGGTACTGTACTTAACCTTAGTTTGGTTGTTAGCAAAGGTAAAATTTGTATTTAGTGCATACGTCATATGAATACAAAAAGAGAACAAATCAAGGATCCTGGTACAGTTTTTAAATGACCCATTCAAATATCTGCCGTCTAGTAGCCCATGCAAAAATAACATAACGAGCCACTTGATTCTGGTGTAATTGATATGAACGTGCATCTGGCCATAGTAGTTAAATGCACGAGGATTATGCCTAAAATACACATCGACCTTCATCGGAGTGTGTCTAGCAAAAAAGGCATTATATAAAAAAGGTGGCAAATTTTGAAATGATGAATTCAGCGATAAACAAAACTCACTTTTTAACGTAATGCAGCGTCGAATAGACTAAACGATTGGTTTTCCTTGGTGGAATGTAAGCCTTTGATCAAGAAGCATATACATATAACGATGTTGTCTTTCCCAAAAATACTCAGGAAACATTAACCCCCATCCCGTACCAAATGCTTCTAGTTATACTGAGTTTGTCTTTACTTCTAGCGCCACTGTGTATAACTGCCCATACAGAAGGGCAACAAGATGTTGAGCCGCAAAAAAATTAGCGTTTAGCATTACATTGTTGTATAATGAACTGTACATACTATGAACTCGCGTTTGCAGTGCGATAATTTTGGGCCAACGAATAGGTATTTTTTCTACAATTCTGGCCTAACTAAAAAAATCAATTCACTTTAAGGTGGTATTCTTGATCATAGATAATGATTATAAAGCTATTACGTGGACAACGTACGTAGTGATGTGATACTGATTTTTAACTTACCCGGATACCCCTTACTTCAAGAACCACAGGGTGTCGAAAAAACGTTATAGACCTTATTTATTAAAAATTTTATTCTCCAAAAAGATTTATTATTTATACTTTATAGACTCTTAGTATATACATTATATATCATATCATTAAATTTCTAGTAATCTGGTGATCATATGACAATTTCTTATAGAATCAAAATGATAAAGAATTTAATTCCCTACAAAAATGTTTTCATTACTTTTTACGTTTATCAAACTGGCGGCAAATGTTCCAGCCATATTATGATGCCAATTTCAACCTGTGATTAGGAGAAGAAATGATCTAGCGATGGTAGAATTTTTTTATACAAAATATGTTATATATTTATTGGCTTATTTTGGTGGAGCTACGGGTCACGCAAAACGCTGTGAATAGCAAATTGTCGCGGGTTTAACGTGCGTTTGTTTTGCGGCGCGACATCTTGTAACCCGTTTCTTCGTGCAATAAATGTTGTTCATTTTCAGTGATCTATGATGACACCCTCACAGACGCCTTCATTTCAACGGTTCGCAAATTATTAGCTCCGCCAGGAGATCGTAGCATCTACGTAGCCTTGGAGAAGAGGTACGTGTTCACTATTGCAGATTGTGACTCTGTGGCACCGTGCTACGAGTACTTCATGCGGTGTCTCAAAGAAGCCAATGGTATCAACAGCGAAGAGCTGGCGTTGGATTTTCCACAGTACTTCCGGTACGAACGAGTGAAGGAGTTGGCTATGTGGAAGCTTTCGAAATCGTAAAAATTAGGTATTCTGTTACTAAATTTTAGGAAGGGGCAGTCCTTTAGGGTTCAAAATTTGTTGGATTCATAAACAAACTTTTGCTAGGTAAATTAAAAAATTATTTTTCGAGTGAATCTCGCGTCGATAGTTTTTAGCGTCTTGAGTTAAAAACCGTATTGAATGAGTCAAATGTTTGAATGACTTGACCGATTGTTATTAAAAGATCGATTCAGTAATCGGCTTGACCAATTTTCTTTAAAATACCGATACAGCAATCTATAAATCAGCAGGCATGGGTAATGGTTGACGCATCGAGCTACTAATCGGTCGACTCGAGTTGTGGATGTTGTGTTGTGTGTTATTAGTACCACGCACCAGATCAGTGCAAGATCAATATAGGCACACCGCGTTGCTGGAGCTGATACAGACAGACACTCACACACATACACGTCTTAAACCTATAACAACCTTCCTTTTCACATTAAGAGTTAGAAGAAAGTACTACTACTAAGTATAGAATCCATCACAAATACCTGAATACATGTTTACGAAATTCTGTTACGATCTGAGAGCCCATAGTAACTCCCATAGTGTACCATAACTTTTTTTAAATCTTAGGTGATGAAGTATGTTTAATGGCTAAATCCAATTCTTTGCAATTATGTATATGATCAAATAATATTAAACATAATATTTTACTACCTGCATTTTATTTACATTTTCTCTAATAACTTCTCATACTGAAGCATTAAAAAAGGTGAAACACAATCGCCGGTGGACCTTGATTGCTATTAACGAGATAGATGAAGCTAAAAAAAGTTTTTTATTGATGGGATCGCAAATATAATGGGTAACCCAAATCAGTTATTGGAATAGTTGCAACCAGAAATAAAGATATAACAGAAAATTGGATTGATTAAATATCAACAGGCTTTGGGGTGGAGAAATATCACCAGGCAACTTTACTCCAGGCAAATTACTGTTTGAGGTGGATGTCTTCTGAAGTAGCTGAGATTTCTATAAGATGCGTTCAGGACACCGTGTACAGCAGGATTATCAATATGTGCCAGTCTGACGAGGGACGAAAACTGGTTCTTACGACTTGTCACTTGAAAAGTAATGATTTCAGTGAATAACTGAAATGATCTTTTAGTCGTTTTGAGTAGACACGTATTACTGATTCATTGTTTTATAGCTGACGTTTCTTCCTGGTACTTGTAAACTGATTAGAATTCCAGTCTTAACTGACCTACTGTAAAGTTATACGATCTTAAAGATATTTACCAGGATGTGGCTGACAATTTTTAAGAAGTTTCGTTCATGGCTTTTCGATATTCTGCAAAGTTTGCTGGTTTGAAACACATGATTCTAATAGCCTGCCAGTTTTTTTATCATAATCTGTTAGAGTCCTAAAATCGACTTCATTTATCAAAAATTCATCAAGGTAAAGTATACAGAATATGAATAAACTATGTTGAAACAGGACAATAGTCTAGTTGTCACGCAAGATGTAATACTCCACGTTTAAAAACGACAGAAGTGTGGACTGCAGTACTTAACTTATTTTTCAGACAAAATTCTCAATAGCGTAGCAACTAACATTCAAAACTCCTCAAGGATAGACATATGAAGATTCTCTTTTTAAAAAGACCAATCCAAATATAAAACAAAAATAGGACAATCCATTTAGAAAAAATCAGATTGGATGTGTGATTCAATAACGTGAATAATTGCGAATATTTTGAAAATGCATCCCATTGTTCCCTGCATCGATAAACAGTTTTATTCAAAAAGTGCTAGTTTAGATGCAATATAACGTCCATGAACGGTTGGGCCACCCTGTATAACTACTGTGATGAATTTAGGAGTTTTGGTAATAAAAATCGAATTTACGATAATAACAGTTTATGATAGAAGATTGACAAGTTATTATAACTACACTTTTTGGAACAATAAAACTACCGAGAAGTCGTTAATGTAAAAAAATTTCTAAAATAATTGGCAGACGAATACTGTAAAATATTTTTAAGATATAACCATACAATAAAATAGTTGAAGTTGTAATTTAAATGAGCTACCACGATTAAACATTTGCTCAGTTTTTTAGACACTTTCTTTCACACAAGATCCACTATGTCAACTTTATACAAAACTCTATATTGATTGTTCTAAAATCATTGCTTGTCAAGGTATAAAACGTCCGAAAAAGTACCATCACAGGAAATTGTCGCGAGCCCTACTACCTTGTGATTTAGATAAAGCAATTGGGGCATGCTGCCCCGATAGCACGAAATATTCATTAAATATTTATTTAATATTTAATAATATTTTTACCTTACTCAAATATTTGTCTTCTTAAACAAATATTTAATAAATATTTTTAATATGATATTTATTTTATAATATTCATTAAATATTTACTTTTCAATCAATGGAAAATATTAAATCTCCAATATTTAGAAAATATTCATTAAATATTTTCGGCTACGGCGCATGTGCGTGTGACCTCGAGCGACCAATGGGATAATAGCAAGTCGGCCTAAGGCGACCCGTTTGCCGGCAGCCATTTTACCTGCGACTTTCACTATGATAGCGTGCTTCCTGTGCACCTCCAAGTGGTTCATTATTTGAGTGTTTTTTTGTAGAAAAGGGAACAAGGTAAGTTTTTCGATAATTACTTAGCTTAATAATTTATCTGACTAGTAAACATTATTGTGCCAGCTGAGTATAAAGGTATTCATAAGACCATAAATAACTAGCCGTGAAGTTATTTGGTATTGGTGGATTTATCTGAGAATGGATACGAAAATTATGTTCATAACATCCCAATAATCGCAACTTGATCGAGATACATCAAAAATCCTTTTTTAAATATCTCAATTATTATTAATATTTTTGTCGAAGTACGTTCAAAAATTTTAACAGTCGAAAGTATTATACTTTTGTCCCTTGAATTATAATATAAAATCACTAAATAGTTATGGCTAAGTTAGCTCCCTTACTGAGAAAAAGTCACATTTCAACAAAATACATACTAATAACCAATTCTCAAACTATCATAGGCATAACATGTTGAGCTACCCGGAGTAACTCACCATGCTCAGCACCAATAAATACACTGGAAAGCAGCTTATGTATTCAATAATACTTCATAATTAGTAAGTTTTTTTTTCAGAGGAATGGACTTGCAAGATGCAGAAGAGGCTTAAAATGTTTTTTAATAATATTTTTTTAGACAATTAAACCATTATATCTAGAATGAATTCTTTATAAACCCTATTTTATATAAGCATTCCTACAGGTTTTGCTAAAATAACCAATGAAGAATTTTCTATATACACTGAAAATATGTATCAGATTAATGCTTGAAAACCCATACATATTTACGAAAAATATTAGATATTTCATCGAAACATAAAATTGATATTTAAAAATGTTTCCTCGTATTATCTGAGATGCTGATTACCCTTGTTTTCATCTGTTTTACCAAATTGATTTTAATCCCTAGCTTATGGTATGAACTGATGTAATTCCCAATAATACATTAACACAACAGGGCATTCTATGAATTACACAAGTATCAAAGTTCTTGATAAAGAAAAACACCTTTCCAAACGTTTATTCCTGGAAATGTCCCACATTTTCATGAATAACAACTGTATCAACAAAAAGACAGATATTAAACAACTGAGTGTCATTTACTCATATTTGCTAAACTGCGAAAAATTGGAGAACTTACATATCTCCCCAAATTTCGACTTTTCACAACCATAAATATAATCTGTGTTTTGGCCGATTCCACCAACAAATTTAATTCCACTCAAAATCTAATAATTCTCTTCTCACGATTTATTAATAATTATTAATTTAAAATTCCGATTAATTAAAATATAGTTTATTCAACTGCCTCTGGTCGGTTTAACAATTTCTTACATAACATTCTGAAAATACATCATCTGAAGTGATTTGGCAACGTTTTGGCACACGCCCACAATTCGTTCCATCTTTCAACACAGACATTGACAACCTTCGGCCTTCTGTCAAAGGTTCATCTCACTCATTATTCCATGACCACCATTTTGTGCAGTCATCAAGTGGCTTCACGACGTAATGCTCTAATGTTTTCTAAATAATTTTTAATCTGTCTTTAACTTGTCTTGTCATATTTTATATAATTTTAACCATTGTACCATGTATCCAGCTCTCACCATGTTACTGGACGTTTCCCTCATCCTATACGAAAACAACAATTAGCAACATCCTCACATACTACTGTAAGTTGATTCAATTTAAATTCATTTTACACTTTTGTTGCTACTGTTATCATTGTAATTGCAGCTCCTGATGATGATGGCAAAGTCCATTGAAAGCTAGAGAGAATTAAAAAGAGTATAAAGAGTCCTCTTTGCTTAAATTTTGTCGAAGTACCCAACAAAAGGCGGAAGCTTTAATTTTTCACCTAACTGGTCTAGACGACAATGACCACGTCTCAAGTTATATATACAGGGTTATCCAAATTAAGTGTCCACCATTAGTAACTTTGTTATTAGTGAAAATACAAAGTTGTTTGAATTAGCAAACTAGTAGCATTTTTAACGCTGGTAAAAATGAGAAATAAAAAAAAACCATTGAGAGTCGTTATTTTGATTTTTTTCAGGAAAATAACATTTTTTTAAATGGAAACCCCTGTATATTATATTTTTTTCTGTTAAAGCATCAAATTTTAAACAAAAAAGCTTACAATAACTTTTTTCCTAGGTTACAAATTGTTGAAGTTATGGCCTCCAATCTGAAACAATTAAATTGTATCGACAAACTTTATTTTCAACATCAACTTATAATCTTACAAAATACAATAAGAATTTTTTTTAAAGAAGATGCTCGAAAACACCACCTTGTTCTTCAATACATTTTTGGGCACGTTTTTCAACTGCTCGAACTGTCTTAAGTATGGTCCTACCATCTATCTGGGTTATCTTTTCCCTAACTGCAGTCTTTAACGCGTCAAGGTTATCGTACCTTCGCTTGTAAATTTGGTTCTTTAAGTAACCCCACAAGAAGTAATCAAGTGGGTTTAGATCTGGTGATCTGGGAGGCCACTGTATTGGGCCATTTGTTCCTATCCACTGATCATTAAAAGTAGTACTTAGAAAATGATAAGTACCTCTGGAGTTGTGGGCAGGTGCGCCATCTTGCTGAAAATGCAGATGATGTCTACTTATAAGATCCAATTCGTCTAAGAAATTAGTCAGAATTTCTGACATAAATTCCACATATCTTTCACCAGTTAGGGTTCCCTCATAAAAGAACGGGCCAACAATTTTTGAACCAATTATACCGCACCAAACGTTGAAACTGAAACGGACTTGTGGGCCTCTTGGATGTACTAACAAAAGATTTTCTCTTGACCAATAATGGTGGTTTTTTCTATTAAACATTCCAGAATTTGAAAAATTTGATTCATCTGTCCATAAAAGGTAACGAAAGTTATTTACATTTTGGCGACAGAAGCTAAGATACCAATGGCAAAAAACAAGTCTTCTCTCTGGATCCCCCGCCAAAAGCGTTTGAACTGGTCGGTACTTATACGGAATAAATTTGTATTTTTTTAAAATCCTTTGAACAGTACCATAACTGAAATTAGAGTCCTTGAGAATATCTGCTATTGAATTCTCACGATAAGCTTCAAAATATCCAA